CATATTTGTGTTAAAGAGAGGTAATATTTGTTAAAAGTCCCAGTATGATAAAGATCTCAAAGCTTGTACCATGGCAATGTAAGCAACTCAAGAAAAAGGCCTAGGCCCAACATAAAGACTGTTAGAAATGTCAAATGGTGAAATCAATTCGGGACAAAATGATGAACCCTTTTAAATCATGTCAAGATGTAGCTTAAAAGGAGTCTCACCTAAACCAAAGTAATCTGAGTAGTATCATTCCTATCCATTTTACACTCTCCGAAGCAACTTAGCGCGCGGAATTGAAGCGCCATTTTGTTTATATTGAGCATGGTGCAACCTCTATTTGATGCTAGTGGTCATTTTTCCTTAGTTTGGCCTATTGTTTTCCCTATTGTTTTGCCCCACTTCAACCCCAATTATTTCGAAAACGGTGCATTTAAGACCCTTTATCTAGAGTGTCAATCAACTCAGCGTAATTTTCTACACCAGAAACATTTAATGATTTTTTCACTTATTTTGAAAAGTATCACCCCTTCCTTAATACATTTAACCGAGGCCCTATTGTTTCACCAGGACGCGCCGCTAAAACCCCTCTATAGTAGTGAAGTAAGGAATGTTCGAAAAATATGGAAAAATAGTAAATTAGCTTTTAAGATTACCAGCTTTTGATACAATGGGTAAATATACTTCATCTCTAGCATAGTACCAGAGGTCTTGGAAATTCTATATGGTTTTGGTGTAAATTGCATCTAAAGTTTGGTCATTCCCTAGGTGGGTTATGACCAATTCAATTCACTTCAATTCATTAAATGTTCTGTTCTGCTTTTGATTGTGGGTATCTTTAACTTTGGTATTGGGAAATACCCCTAACCTAGGGGCCATCAGGGAGTTAGTATCAATGTGAAATAACTTTCATACATCATTTTAAACTTAAATTAGCGCTAGCAATTGGTTTTGAAGGGCTTTAAAACACATAATTTAAGGGGCCTGTATATATCAATGCATGTATTTAGAAGACACGTAAAGAAACAAAAATGAAAAGTTGTTCTTTGGTAGACACTTTTTCTACTTTGAAAACTTAAAGAAAACTTTTTGTTATGTAGCTACATGAAAAAAATATCTTTATAGCGTTGATACTTCAAAAGGAATAAATCGTAACACAATCAATGGAGAGAACTACAACCTCTAATTAATCTATGAAGGTGTCACAAATGTTCGCAAATAATAGTATAATGTGTAATGATGTTACAAAATTTAAATAAAGTCATTGTCTGATTCCGATGAACTTTCATCCATTTGTTGTCGCATCCCTTCCATGACTGCCTCGTATATTTCATGCTTACGTGTTCGGAGATGATAAGTGTTACTGTCCGCATCATATACACAATCAATGGGGTGAACTACAGCCTCTATACTTTCTTTGAAGGTGATGCCAATTTTCATTTTATACGTGTAGCTTTCGTCAGTCTCTTCCATCTCGGCCATTAATACAGTTTTCTCGTCGTAGTTCACATCGATTACCTTACCTACTAAAATGTTTGGAACAGCCAAAGTCGAATCATTTGTAATTAGAGCAACAATTTGATCTCTAATGGGGTAGTTCCAACAGGACAATTTTCGACGAATCCCTAAACAGTTAGCTGTATTATCTGCCAAGTGTCTTACACCCTTTTTAATTTTGTTTTCGGTTTCCATGGTATAGTATCTTAGTCTCTGAGTTCTCTGACTGTGTGACATAAGTCTTGCGATAGCTGCTTCTATGTTTTGTCCTTTTCCTCAGACAGAACCCAGTTAACTAAACTTTTACGAAGGGTTCCTGTAGTTACATGCAATTGATCATCCGAATGTTGTGAGAATGACTTGGAGAGATAAACTGTAAATGATTCGGAACTTTCAAATGGCTCTCCACTTTTACGCATGAAAAGAAAGTCGTGTTTCTTATCTTTAAGGAGTATCCTCCTTTCTTTATCTATAAATGTTCGCAAATAGCGCTCTAAATAATCGACGCTCGAAACCGAGATCCGATTGCACCCATAAGTCGAAGAGGTTTTAAAAATGTTTATTTCCAATTCCACTGTGCCATCTTCTTTGAATATAAGATAGTTGTTATTTCTATCTCGCTCTTCATCCTTCTCTTGCACTATTTTAAGTCTTATCATGTCAGTGTTTCTTGCCGTATTAACAGTGGCAAACATTAAAAGAATTAAGAAATCATGATACAATCTTGCCTTATCTATTCTCGTGCCACAAAATGTTTCCAATTCATATTTCATTTTCTTTAATAGTTCCATTGCTTGTCCCCAGTAATAGTTTTTTTTTTCTGTCCGTATTTGTATTTTTTCTCCTTCTCTCCTTTTCGTACTCTCTCTGTTAAAAGAAAAGTGAATGCAATCAGCAAAAGAAAACAACACCATCAAGAAGGAAAATGCATACAAAGTGCGTAAAGCGTAGAAGTAACCGACAGCACAACCAACGCTGTAATCTTTTCAAAGCATATTTATATCAAATTCGCTATTGGACGACGATAATTTGGCAATCTTGGTCACTTTGGCCGTTCTTAGTTCACTTGAAACGTAGATATAAACTCTGAAGTAGATGACTTCAAATTAAATGCTTACCTGCAGCTGAGACTGTATTCTTTTCAGCTGCACAATCTCTTTATTTCCATAAGGTTTCCGCTATTTCTCTTCACATATTTGGCAATATATAAAATCGATTGTACATAGCCTGCCACCGTGCCGTAGCTTAAGGGTTTGGCCAATCGCGTTTGCACGAAAGCATCCACTTTTTTCGTGTTAAGGCAATCTTCAATGTTTGGACTCCGTGTTTCTGTCTCTGCAACAAAAATAAAGTATTCTTTTGCTTTACCAATGATCTTTTTCACTGTTGCCTCTGCAATTTTTCCAGTGGGCCGTTCTGGATTGATTACCTTGCTGTAGAATTCAGCAATTTTCGGAAACTCATTATTAACAGCTTCATGTGTACTATTGTGTGGATCTCGGTAATTAACGCTGTAGTCTTCCATTCTAACATCTTCGAAAGATTCCACATCAGTCATGGAGTTTGTGGCCTCCCCGCACATTTCATTCGTTGAAATTTTATCGTTTGCTTCAATCGTTGTGGTGCTTTGGAGCTGTTTGAAGATTTGCTGTTTGTGTTTGCTGTTAAGTTTTTGAAAATCTCCCATATCTATCAGCCAGTGTCCCCCTTTCTGTTTTCCAAAACGTGACTGCAGCTTTGCACATATCGTCCCTTGGGCTAATCTAGCCCTTATACCCATTCGGTGGAGCATGGTTTTGAAGGCTGATCCAGTCATGTGCTTGAAATCTGTTTTAACGTCCGCCAGTGCCACGTATTGATTTCCATCAATTTCAAACAGATCTCTGTCCAGAATTTTGGTAGGTTCTAAATAAAAATATTCTGGTTACATGTATAAAAAGGAAACTGGTTCCAAGAAAACTGATAACAAAATGCAATCGTGTTGAAAAAGTCTTGTTGCAAAAGTATATGTTTCGACCATCGATCTGTGAGAAAACATCCTTTCTATTGTAAATAATTAACGATAAGGAAACAACTTGCCATGAAAATTTGAATCCATTTCGTTCTTTAACGAGGGACAATTGCTTGATCCTACAAGGAAAATATGCTGATTCAATAAAAGGAAATTATGATGTTTTGCTACAAATACTTTTTCTACTCTATCGCCCCGCGATCTCACTACGCCCATCAAAATACGTGAAATAAATGGAAAACCAGGTTAGAGAAATTCGGTTTAGAAATTTGGTCACACCCGAACCAAGCCCCAATGAAGCTTTTCTTATAAAAACGCAATTCTGGTTATATGCATCTGGTTACATTGACAAAACAAGCTGGAAGACAACTGGTTACATGATGTAACCAGATAAAAAAGTCATCTGGTTAAAACGCGCTGCTTTCAACGGGGACTAGCCTTATTGAAACTCGTTTTATATTATTGAAACTCTTTCATAAATATCAATTCTGGTAGCATGCATCTGGTTACATCGAAAAACCGGCTGGAAGACAACTGGTTACATGATGTAACCAGATAGAAAAACCATCTGGTTTAAACGATCTGCTTTCAACGGGAACTAGCCTTATTGAAACTCGTTTAATATTATTGACACTCTTTCATAAAACGCAATTCTGGTTATATGCATCTGGTTACATTGACAAAACAAGCTGGAAGACAACTGGTTACATTATGTAACCAGATAAAAAAGTCATCTGGTTAAAACGCGCTGCTTTCAACGGGAACTAGCCTTATTGAAACTCGTTTTATATTATTGAAACTCTTTCATAAATATCAATTCTGGTTGCATGCATCTGGTTACATCGAAAAAACCGGCTGGAAGACAACTGGTTACATGATGTAACCAGATAAAAAAGTTATTTGGTTTAAACAATCTGGTTTCAACGGGAGCTAGCCTTATTGAAACTCGTTTAATATTATTGACACTCTTTCATAAAACTCAATTCTGGTTGCATGCATCTGGTTACATCAACAAAACAGGCTGGAAGACAACTGGTCAATGATGTAACCAGATAAAAAAGTTATTTGGTTTAAACAATCTGGTTTCAACGGGAGCTAGCCCTAGTCAAACTAGATACATTAAAGCGCAATTCTGGCTAAATGTTTCTAATATGATAGAGGAAACTGGTTACAAGACAACTGGTTTCATGATGAAACCAGATAGAATTTTATGCATAACAAGTTTAAACATAAAATCAAACGGACTCCCCCCCCCCCCCCGGGCTGCGAATGCAGCAAACTACAAGCAGACCTTCCCTTTATGGAATGCGGCACCCCCCCTCGTCCCTTATCACGAGAGATGCTGCCAAAAAGAACATTCTAAAATTTTGATTTAACTCTGGCAATAGTTTTACCCTAACCCTAACCCTAACCCAACCCAACCCTAACCCTAACCCTAACCCCAACCCCAACCCCAACCCTAACCCTAACTATTGCTGCAAAACTAGCCCCTATTTTTCTCGCCTGGAGAATTCTAACTCAACTCAACTATTCCAAATCAATTCAAACAAGTTCATAGGTTTCTTGTGAACTCATCCTCCTGTTTGGGACCATCTAGAGAAGAAATTGCACTTTGCTTAGGCAAAAGGGTATTTGAGAAGAGGCAAGAGAGCAACGAGCAATTGTTCTTACACTCCATTTCTGTTTCTTGCCAGTACAAGACCTGTTGTTGCCAAGTCTAACTTCTGCAAGGATGTAATATAGCAAAGCAAATACATGCTTGCATGAGTTACTGTAACCAGCCACGCATCCACATTCACTAGCCAAAATGGAAGAGGCATCTGTCCGTAGACTAACCCAAACAGTATAAGGAGCATCAGATATACGTGTCTGAGGCACAACCAATGCTTTTATAAAGCAAAATACAATACAATCTGTAATTTTATTAAAAAACACTGACTTTACATGTCCAGATGTCTGAAGGTTCTGTCCTTCCTTGGAGGCTTTCAAGGATTCCATTGCTTCTGCATATTTTTTATAAAATCAAATGTAAGGTCAGGATAGTATTCACTTCCTTCGAGCCAGTGGGAGCCAATTGTCTCAGGAAAGGGTAACTGCACGCCATCAACGAATAAAATTTTGCTCTAGTTGAGGTCAATTTCAGATTTTCGAACAGCTTGAGAAGGCAATGTTGGAAGTTCGAGCTTTTCAGCAAAAATAACTTTTCCAATAAGCTGTGGTTTTCTGCAGTTCTTAGTGTTCAAGGGCACACCTCTGTCTGACAGATATTTCTTAAGATCTTCTACCTTCCAAACTCGCAATTCTTCTTCAGTAAAAACCATTTTAGAGAGGTATAATCGAAGAAACCGGTCACAGGACGGCAGTAAACACGCTATTTTCGTAGTAGTCAAAAAAACTAAGGTTTGTTTGCCCCCTAGACATCCCAGATTGCATTGCGAAAAAAGATGGCGGCAACAACAGGAAAGAGGTCTATTGACAGAGTCTACGACTTATGAAAACTGTGAATCTCCTTGAAAAGCTCACAAAGTATTGCATTGGAGTTAGACATTCTGTGACTCTGTACTTCAAGATGTCTGAGGTTATCATTGTTTTGTAAATTTTCAACGTTAATGAATATTTCCTCTAAACCGAAGGCCAAGAGAAAAGATGGGTGGCATTTGAATCAAATGGAACATTGTGGATAAGCATGGAACAAGTGAAGGCTGAGTTCACAAAAAATATACAAAGCTCGACTCTCCGCAGCAGAATGCACAGATTGAAGATAAATTGCAAGAAACATGAGGGGATCCTGCGCTTGAAGCTCGAAGAGAAATTTGGACCACGTAAAGGTGGGCATTACGTCATCCCATTAGACAGTCTTCATTTGCTGCTACAGAAGCAGAGTGTGCTTCAACTACCACAAGCAGCAGTCGCCAATGTGGAGGCGGGCACAGGTTACGAAGCAGCTTCAAGCATGCAGGATGGAGTGTCTTCATTTGAAGTATTTTTCGAAAAGCTCGGGGAATTCTACACGGATGAAATAAACCCGTTGAGACCATCAAACGGTATGAAAGCAGGGACAATCGAACGCCACACAAGAAGGTTAAAGGAGTTCTTTGAACATGTAAAAGAGACATATAACAGACCCTCACAAATAGTGGATGCTACAAACATCAACTTTGTTAGGGCATATGTGGCGGAATTGAGGAGGGAGCTAAACGTGGGTACAGTTGCCAACCATATTCAAAGCCTGATAGTGGCAGCAAAATATATTCTGAAAAAAGAGGGCCTAACAAAAAGTTGGCATGAAATTGCAGAAATAACATAATTGAGGCACATGCAGGCCCAACTGCAAGTGAGTATTCCAGTTCACCTTAGCTATATATATTTTCGCTTTTCATTAGAAATTCTACAATAGGAACTTGAGTTGCATTTCATTCTATATCATAACATTAAATTCTGGCTGCCTAAATTCTACTGTCAAGAATGGTTGATGAAGCCAGCCGAAGTACAGTCATTTAGTATATTCAATTTTTTTGAAATTCTTTTTGACTACATTGGATTTTCACCGTCCTGTGGCTTAGTTACAGGCTATTATTCTTATTTTAATCAGCGGCAGCATATCCTGCGTTCCTTTCTATTTACACATACATTTTACACATCGCTTTTTGATATTTTTAGTTTAAATTTACCACTGTTTTTTTAAAGCCTCTATGAAAGAGAGCGGAGACAAAAGGTTCCCGGAAGCCGATGAAAGAAAGAACTTTGAATGGAAACAGGTTTTAGAAACATTAAAATTGATGAGGGACAGGATAATTTCGTCGAAAGAGATGGATGGGTATCAAAAGGCAAGGTTATACCATGATTTTGTAATACTTTCATTGTTCACCACAGTGAGCCCATCACGGAATGCAGATTTGATGAAACTAAAAATACTATTTGACGAGGAACAGGGGAGTGTTTCAGAAAACTACATTTTATTTAAGGAAAATGGCAGCACTACAATGGTTGTAAATGATTTCAAAACGAAGAAAAAATACGGGTGCAATAGAGTGGACATCTCCAGATACGATTATGTCAACCAACATCTACCTAAATATGTTCAGGAGGAGAGGGAGAAGCTTATGTTGAGTAAGAGACATGATTTTCTTCTAATGAAGGGCACGGGGGAACCATTTGACACATCTGAGTCGTTTTCTGTTTACATCGAAAAGGTGTTTCACCGACACAATGGGGGCTTGAAGTTCACAACTACGACCCTCCGAAAAGCGCTCGTAAAGTGACTAATGTGCAACAAGAAGGAGGACCAAGTAAGAAATTCAGTTGCAAGACTCATGAGCCACTCACCACGAGTTCAGCACCTTCGCTACAACACAGATGATTCAGCAAGAAAAATAAAAAGGGGCGCTGACCACCTCACTTCTAAAGCCCCGGCCAAACGAGCCAACATTTCTCCCAACATTTCAGCCAACATGCTCTTTTTGCATGTTGGCTCAAATGTTGGGTCGTTTGGCCACCATGTTGGGTCACCCAACATTGTTGGGAAAGATGTTGGGTGAAATGTTGGATCGATTTGAAACTGGTCAAAAATGTTGGCGGCTGTTGGGTGTTGTTGGGCGTTGCTGGCTCGTTTGGCCGGGTAGGCCAACATTTGTTGGCTTTACGCAAGCGCTGTAAGGAATTAATAAATGTGAATGGCGCTGCACGCCAAGTTTCAGTTTGTAGAGCAGAGATCAAAATTGTGAGAAAAGCCTTTTGATTTGGACAACTTTGGAATATTGGATGATGGAAGAGTACGAAGAAAGAGATTTAGTGAGTGAAGATGAGTACGACGAGGCCGTAGAGGAAATGAATAGAGTTTTGGGGAAAAGAAACGCGTTGCCTTCAAGACCAGGGATGGTAGGCTTAGGCCGTCTTGGACTACATCCACCAAAAAAAGTAGCCAAAATCAATGGCAGTGAAGACGAGCCAACTGATGATTATGCTGCTGATTCTGATAAAGAAATTACCCTGCCAAAAGGACATCAACGCAAGAAAGTAAAGAAAACGACAGCAACTACGGAGATGAAAAATATTTCAGGTCAATCACGGAAGACAGCATGGAGACATGAGGAAATTTTACGATTAATAGAAAATCTGGAAGCTCGTCCATGTTTTTTGGAACGTATTTCACCAAGCATACCATTTAAGAGACCAACGCGGAAAAGCGTTAGAAGAGATCTCAGAGGCAATGAATATTTCTGTCATGGAAATTAGATCAAAAATTGCTGTTTTGCGAGCACAGCTAGGAAGAGAGATTGCCAAGTCCTCAAAAACAAAATCTGGACAAGGAAGGGATGAGCTTTACAACACCAACTGGCCCTACTGGGGGCCTTTACAATTTTTGTGTCCAGTTATGCAGCCAGGAAAAAGCAAAGATACCTTTTCTTACAATCTGGAGTCACAAAATGTTGAAATTCAAGATAACGATAGAGAAGAGACCAGCAAAGAAAGTGAATATTCATCTTCAAGCACACAATTTTCTAAAAATTCACACTCTTCTTCAAGCTCACAAAAAGAGACTCCAAAGATGTCCAAGAGAGCACTGGAGCTACAGAAGCAGGAAATCATGAACAAGTGCATCAATGTCTTGTGTGAACCACCACCACAACAGTCACATGATTCATTGAAAGAATGTCCATTTGCTTTGTTTGTAGCAGAAAAACTGAATAAGTTTGATGATCGCACAAGGGTAATTGCAGAGAAGAGAATTTGTGACATAGAAATAGAATAAATGAAATAGATGACATAGAATTAATAATTGACACTTCCTGTAAACTACAACAGTTCCCATAACCAGTCAAGCAATGGAGGAGGAATGCATCACAGCAACTTTGGATTTCTAAACTATTTGCAGCAATGAAACTGTAAAAACCCACTGATGGTTTTGCAGCTAATTTCTTACCTGTTGGTTTAACCCTATTCAGACTGAGCTTTTTGAGCTGCTAATAGTTGCTCCTTGGTATATGTTGACAAAAATCACCATAGACATAGCAGAGGTTATGATGTATCTTTTATTTAAAAAAGATATCCGAAAATAGATATGAGGTCATAATTAGTCAAGACATAATGACAAGAGTACACAAAAATGATGTCATAGTTGAAGTCACATAACACACGATTGAGCTTTTGTACATGAAAAATTAAAAAGATCATACTTCTTATATACATTGGAGGTAACAAGGATTCCATAAAATTGTTATAGGATGCACCTGAATTGAGTGCATCAAAAAAATCCTTAAATTTTGACCTTGACCACCGTGAAAAAACAGCCCAATTCCCCCCAATTTAATTTCTTTTTTAATTTTTTTAAACAAATTCACACTTCATATAGATAGAAACTAAAAGTCAAAAAGAATTATGCTAATTGAGTCTACCAATAATGTGGAGCACTGCTTGATTAAGAGAGTTGGGGGGGGCTGAATGAGTCCCCCTTCAGTCTGGATAGGGTTAATTATGTTTTATAAATAACTGGTTCACATGATTTTAAAAAACTCAAAAATGTAACAAACTCTAGTGGTAGGCTCAAGAAGAATCAAGAAACTGCAACATCTCAATTTTTAAGGACTGAAAAGTATGTATGATAAATTTGGTAAGCAAGTATTTTAGTTCAAGTCTGAAGTTGATATAATTGTTTCAATATTTTTGCCACTGCCATGATACAGCACCTTCATTGTGAAAATACTCTTTCAGAGTTTCTCTTACTTCTTTTGCATCAGCTTTGGAGTTATTTCCATTGCCTCTTGGGCACAATGAAAAAAGTGATTCTGTGGGGGGATTTTGATGAACTAGTCCATCAGTCATCTCACCATTTGTTCCAACAGAATCTGTAAGTCCAGCAGTGCAGTATATGTTTCAAATGAACTGCGCCGAAGAAAGTTCCGAACAGTAAGTGTTGCAAGCACAAGCTGCTCAATAAATTCTGGAGGTAGCAGTATTGTTGATCTAAAGACTCTCCACTGATTGGCAATGATACCAAATAAATTTTCAGATAGTCTTCTGGCTCTACAGTGCCTGTAATTATAAATTCTTCTTTCTGCAGTCAATCCTGTGAGGGGATAGGGCTTCATCAGATAACTTTTAAGGGCAAACGCATCATCTCCAACAAACACATATGGTATCTTTTTGCACCATGGGGGAGATATTTTGGAACAGGAAAATCAATCTTCTTGTCTTCAATTGCTTTTGCCAGAGAACATTTGTTCCAGACACCACCATCCGAAATTCTCCCATTAGTGCCAACGTCTGCATAAATACATTCATAGTCTGGCCCAGCAATAGCTAACAAAACTATAGAATGAGTGCCTTTGTAGTTGTAATACCTGGAACCTGCTCCTGGTGGTGGCTGCATGACTATATGTTTGCCATCAATGGCACCTACACAATTTGGAAACTGCCATTTTTCTTCAAAAGCATGGGCAATATTTACCCAGTCTTCTGCAGATGAAGGTAATGCAAGAAACAATGGTCTCATGTTCTTTATAATTGCCTGGCAAACATCCTTCACTATGTAGGAAATTGCTGCCCTAGAAACACGGAATTGAAATGACATGGAACGAAAAGTCTCCGCAGTAGCCAAAAATCTAAGAGTGATGACAAGTCGTGCTTTTGGACTGATAACAGTATTTCCACCTGAAACTTGACATGGTGTGATGTCTTTTTCAATTGCCCCCAAAATTTGAAGCAAGCATTCGTGGGACATGCGTAACATCTCTTTGAAAGAAACACTGTCTTCAATGCTTAATTCTCGTAAAATACAGTTATAAAACCCCTTCTCCTCGCGTCTTTTGATCCATTGCCTTGTTTTCCCTCGTTTGCTGGAACATTCGTCATCTTCTAATAGCTGCGTTATCAATAAACACATGGCTACTTGGCGCCTTTTCAGATGATTAGAATCCATGTTGGGATGAGTGTGGCAACCACTTTCTGTCAGCCTCGCTTCAAAGTTAGAGGGGACTCAATCTGAGCAAAGTCTTTTATTTCATCTGAGTATTCCAAAAAGGGTTGTGCCAAATGTTGGGTGAATTGTTGGATCGTTTGGCCAGCCTTCCTAACAACTCCCAACATTGTTGGCAAAGATGTTGGGTTAAATGTTGGGTGAAATGTTGGCTCGTTTGGCCAGGGCTTAAAATATTGACTTTTTTGGGAGAGGATGAAAATGACACAGAAACAGAAGCAGAAGATACCCCTTTATAAATTTCACAAGCTTTAACGAACGTTAATAATTACATTATTTTAGAAAGCTAAGATATTGCTAATTTCGTGTTTTTAGCTAGTCGTATTTTAGAAATTATTTAACATTACTTGTAACAATATTTTATCTTTCTGATCCAAGGTTGTCAACATAATCACTTGCCAATGCCTTTTTTCAATCTTTATATGCATGTTTGTATTATTGCCTGTGTCATTTTTCATTAAGTAAGGTTAATTGATTGATTTGCGGAAAGCTCTATTTACTTTTCTGACCAGCAGTTTATCAGCATATCAATTTACGTTTTATTACTCTGTCAGCAATTCTATATACCAAAGCAGAAAACGTAATTAGTAGATTGAAATGGGCATGCCGTAGCATATCCTTGGCAGTATTTCATGCTTTTTGTATGCAGAAACAAGTTTAATTGCGCACTTAGCATGAACAAAGATTATGGGAGCTGAATTGATATCAAAATGATCGTTATCTTTTAGTTTAGTTTGTATTCCAAGGTAAACTTAAATGACTCATTTCTAAAGAAATAAATTAGAAATTGGAAATTTTTTATCAATAGCTAGATCGTCAACGAAAAGGTTTTTTGAGTTACATAAACAATTTTGCATGGTTATGTAGTGTACCTAACCACCTCAGATTTATTATGATTATCGTCACAAAGCCTCTGCTTAATTTTGCAAAAAAAAGCCATTTCCAAATCGTTTGCTTTGATTTTGTGAGCTATTTAGTTTAACACTCCCTCTTTTCATAACAGTAGAAGATCACATTAATAAATGCGCCTGAGCCAAGTTTCGAAATGCAAATAGCTATGAGAAACGCGTTGACAGATTGTTCCACAAATCACGTGTCATTTCGGCGTTTGGAGGCTGCGTTTTGAGAAAAACTTCCAAGTGTCACGTCTGGTTTGTACGAAATTCGTACAGCCGGAAATTCGATAACAATAAAGAGAAAAAACAAAAGGGACATTTGCATAAAACACAGGCGCAACAACGATTGACAAAGGCATTTACACTTCCCGCAGACTAACAACAATAGAGCTTTTATTAAGAATATGACAATGGTTCAAACCCTAACCTTAACCCCAACCCCAACATCAACCCTAACCCTAACTATTGCTGCAAAACTAGCCCCTATTTTTTCGCCTAGAGAATTCTAACTCAACTCAACTATTCCAACTCAATTCAAACAAGTTCATAGGTTTCTTGTGAACTCATCCTCCTGTTTGGGACCATCTAGAGAAGAAATTGCACTTTGCTTAGGCAAAAGGGTATTTGAGAAGAGGCAAGAGAGCAACGAGCAATTGTTGCTACTTCTGGCTGCAATATGTGCATATGGGCTGTTCCGGGACCTCAGTCTCAAGGCAATCTTTTTTGTCAGATAGACTTATGTGAACGCTTCATCAACATAAGGTATGCGAATACGGGCATCCGCTTTTGCAGCGCATGCTTAGGTTGGTGGAGAGACTTAAACTTACCCCTGATGAGCTGCGCTTTTTTAATGTTACTTTATCTATAGGATTTTTTGCGATAACAGTGGAGGACTGCCTACAGCAGTGGAGGACTGCCTTAATAACAAGTACATACCTGAAACATCATGTTTTTACAACCACTCTGGTACTGAACTTATTCGTTCATTATATTATCGTTATTTGGATGAAGTACTACCAGCAACATACATATTTGACTTGTTCAAGTTAAAATTGATAGGCCTACCTGATAGATACCGAAACTTATTATTTTATAGAAAATTATATTCACTCAAAAACTCAAAAGAGAATTATACAACATAAAAGTCACGGCCTTCTTTATTCTCCAGCTCCTTATGACCCGCCAATGGATTAACATTTTTGTGCTATTGCTTTGAAGTCTATCAAAAATAAAATTTTAATGGATTACTAGGGTTTGATGGATAACAAAACGGAATCTTACAAAAGAATCCCACCAACCAAATGATAGAACATAATCACAACAACAAACAGCATACAGCTGCGCACCCAAAGGCGTTTCTTTTCTCTTAATAGAGTTGGATAAAATAAGAATTCTAAATGACAGTAATCATTAGAAAATTTTATTAAAAACGTTTAAGAATGATGATCCGCAAAAAAATAATGTTGTTAGAATATGTTTGTATATGAGATTCTACTAACTATTGCTGCAAAACTAGCCCCATTTTTTTCGCCTAGAGAATTCTAACTCAACCAAGGTTAGATCACTATATAATATAAACTTTTCGTACGATTAATAATTTCAATTCAGATAATGGAGGCAATGTTTCAGTCTACTCGAAAGAAAATGTTTATAATAGATATCTCATGCTGAAGCTAAATATATATCTTTCAGCTATTTAAAAACTACTTTTCAAAATACTTGTTCATTTGTATCTAAAGAGGGCCCATAGCTGAAGCTCTATTGATAAATTTGCTTTTTGAATGTATTTGATTTGTTTTTTCGTCTATTTTAGTTTTGGCCAGGTCCTGAAAGGAAGAAGAAGCGTGTAGCAGCATCTGCTACACTAGGTGAGTATAGGGCCCTCTATGAACAAGGTGAGTCATCCACTTCCATAAAGGGTCCTAGTAATGCTGAAGATGTAGCTACTTTGGGTGAAATTTCTCTTGATTTTCATTTGCAGGAGGAGCTCGAAGTCACACAGACTGAGGGCCTCATTAATAGTTTTACTCTTGATGAAAGCAGTCAGAATGTTGGATCAGAGCAACTGCTTGCAAATCTGCAGATTTAGGGATACATTCAAAGTGCTCCATCTGAAGCTTCATTTCCAGGAATGCAATCAGGCTGCAAGGAGGCGCACTCAACTTTCATTGGGCATCATTCCAGCAACCAATCTGGGTATTAGGATATGTTGATTCATTCAGCATTTCCTGATGGTGATTGCAAGCACGTGCAAACATTTGTTGGCAATAATAGTTCATATTACTGCCTCCTCCTTCTTCTAAGGACAATATTTTCCAATTAGACCTAACATACTATGGGTGTGCGGATGTTGTCGTGAGTGCGGAAGGGATTGACCTCTCCAATCACTAATGGGATGAAGAAAACAACGCCAAGTTGGACGTGCTCAAAGCTGTGTTGAACTATACCCATGCTGTCCGAAATAGGATCTTTGGCAAGTGGGTAGGTTTCTTGTGCACTCATCCTCCTGTTTGGGACCGTCTAGAGAAGAAATTGCACTTTGCTTAGGCAAAAGAGTGTTTCAGAAGAGGCAAGAGAGTAACGAGCAATTGTTGCTACTTCTGGCTGCAATATGTGCATATGGGTTGTTCCGGCACCTCAGTCTCAAGGCAATCTTTTCTGTCAGATAGACTTATGTGCACGCTTCATCAACATAAGGTATGCGAATACGGGCATCCGCTTTTGCAGCGCATGCTTAGGTTGGTGGAGAGACTTGAACTTACCCCTGATGTGAATGTTACTTTACCTATAGGATTTTTTGCGATAACAGTGGAGGACTACCTCCCTAATCAGTGGAAGACTATAGAAGATGTCAGTAACTGTATATTTTCCTATGATGGGACGTTTAATTTTGAGACAACCATGGACATTCCAGCACACACTAGCGAAGAGCTGTTTGCTTCCTACGGAATTTCAAGCAACTTGCTCAAGAGCCACCGTTTGCAAACGAATCCCTTCGCCACCTTGGTTCTAATTTATAAAATCGCAGGGGTCTAAATCATTTTATGTAGTTTTCCCTACACTGATGCAGCAGTAGTTTAATTACTGCAACTTGTTACAAGAAAACTGGTTGCCTCTTGGAACCAGATACAAATAGTATGGGCTGCCTACCACATCACTCCTAAAACATTGACATTTTAGGGTCATGAAGATAATTATACTACTGAAAAGACTTTGTTCATAGATTTGAAAAAGAGTTTTAAGATTATTAGCAGAGGATTCAAAGCAAACAAACAAACATCTGGAAATACTAACTTAAATCAAACAATTTTTAGTGGCTGATTTGGTCTTTGTTGAATAGAATTGATACAAATTAAATAGTGAGTCTTTGCGAAAGGTGGATCTTTTAAAAAAAACAATAGATGTATCTGCTATCTAGCTTAGATATCAAGTATTGTGTAGGAGCAGAAAGCCAGAACCATCGTTAGAAAAAACACAAGCATTATCAGTCCCTGGTAAGCTAGCTAAGTACAATCACTGCCAAAATTACTTGGAAATTTGTGCTGTGATTTTCCGTTTTTCAGTTGTTTTCCAAAATACTATTACTTACGTCACCCTCCCCCTCCCGCAAAAAAAAGTTGAAGTAGAGCAAAATGTCAAACAAGCCAGAAGAAAAAGCATACCCAATAGCCCCCCTCATTTTCTATTGTAAATCAAAAATTTTCCTAGGGGGAGAAGGGATGGCTGAATTTGCCTTTGAAAACCTAAACTGGTTTTCTATTAGATTTGGCTCTGATTGTAAGTATTGACTTTGCAACCAAATATATACCCTCGGTTTCCAATCAAACAGACTTTCTAGCACAATTTTCAATTGTAATGTCCTCAACTTACAAATTTTTCTCATTCGGTTAGAAAATAGAGTAAGTTTCAATTGTTTCTTACATAAAATCACATTTAATATTTCTATAAGATCAGTTTATATTTATTATTGAAGTGAACTGTAACTACAAAAATGACTAATTTTGCTAAAATCTGGTAAAATGTCTCCTTAACCTAGCAATCACATGCTTATATATCAGTTTCTAGTGTATTACCAGTAAAAAAAAATATTCGCTAATATACATGCTCAAAGAACGGGTGATGTTGAAAAAAATGTCAAACAAAAAGTTATAAGACCACCTTCAGTTGGTATTGAAGTAGAATGGTTGTTTGAATAAAGCTTTTCCAAATGGAAAGTTAAACATTTGATCAACACTGCTGAAAACTACTTTCTCAAAACCGCCATATTCCTCAAGGCTTATTTATCAGCATGTCAATAATGAATTAGATATAAGATATGCTTTGAAGAGATTACACCATTGATTGTGCTGTTTCTTTATCTAGGCTAACGCATTTAAGCTTATTGTATGAATTTCCCCTGGTGATGGTGCTCTTTTTATTACTGATTGCTCTCTTGCTTCTTTAACAGAGGGAGAATGAAAAGAAAAAAAAGAGAGAGGACACTAATATAAACTATTTTTTGGGACGAGCCATGAAGCAATTGAAAGGGAATTATGTACTTGAAAACTTCAATGGCCTGAAAATTAAAAGGAACAATCATATCGTCATTTTTTTCCTTTTAATGTTTGCCACTGTTGATCAGAAAATGAACACTGGCACCATTGCCAAGGCCTTTGTTGCACAGCCAGAGATGTCAAAGACCAAAAACTATACTTTGGTAACTACAAGCAAAATTTATTAAGGTGTAAGGCGCTTGGCAGAAAATCAAGGCAGCTGATTAGGGAAATGTGTACTATTGTCTCGTTGCAATTACTTTGTTCAAGTTCAAATTGATGCTTTTATAACAAAAGATTCAACTTTGGAGTTTTGAGAAATTTTAGTAGGGAAGGAAACAGTTTTTATGGCCAATAGAAGGTTGAGTTGCTGTAGTTCACCCTATTGATTCTTTATACACTATTAAATAGTGATACACAATTTTTTAGTGGCTGATTTGGTCCTTGTTGAATAGAATTGATATAAATTAAATAGTGAGTCTTTGCGAGAGGTGGATCTTTTAAAAAAACTGACACAATAGATGTATCTGCTATCTAGCATATATAGCAAGTATTGTGTAGGAGCAGAAAGCCAGAACTGTTGTTAGAAAAAAACAGAAGCATTACAATTCGCTGGTAAGCTAGTTAAGTACAATCCCTGCCAAAATTACTTGGAAATGTGTGCTGTGATTTTCCGTTTTTCAGTTGTTTTCCAAAATACTATTGCTTTTGTCACCCTCCCCCTCCCGCAAAAAAAGTTTAAAATAGAGCAAAATGTCAAACAAGCCAGAAGAGAAAACATACCCAAAAGCCCCCTTCATTTTTCTATTGTATATCAAAAATTTTCCTAGGGGGAGAAGGGATGGCTGAATTTGCCTTTGAAAACCTAAACTGGTTTTCTAACAGATTTGGCACTGATTGTAAGTATTGACTTTGCAACCAAATATATACCCTCGGTTTCCAATCAAACATACTTTCTCGCACAATTTTCAATTGTAATGTCCTCAACTTACAAATTTCTCTCATTCGGTTAGAAAATAGAGTAAGTTTCAATTGTTTCTTACATAAAATCACATTTAATATTTCTATAAGATCAGTTTATATTTATTATTGAAGTAAACTGTAACTACAAAAATGACTAATTTTGCTAAAATATGGTAAAATGTCTTCCTAACCTAGCAATCACATGCTTATATATCAGTTTCTAGTGTATTAGCAGTAAAAAGAAAAGATTCGCTGATATACATGCTCAAAGGAACGGATATTGTTGAAAAAAATGTCAAACAAAAAGTTAGAAGACCACCTTCAGTTGGTATTGAAGTAGAATGGTTGTTTGAATAAAGCTTTTCCAAATGGAAAATTAAACATTTGATCAACACTGCTGAAAACTACTTTCTCAAAACCGCCATATTCCTCAAGGCTTATTTATCAGCATGTCAATAATGAATTAGATATAAGATATGCTTTGAAGAGATTACACCATTGATTGTGCTGTGTCTTTATCTAGGCATAACGCATTTAAGCTTATTGTATGAATTTCCCCTGGTGATGGTGCTCTTTTTATTACTGATTGCTCTCTTGCTTCTTTAACAGAGGGAGAATGAAAAGAAAAAAAAAAGAGAGGACACTAATATAAACTATTTTTTGGGACGAGCCATGAAGCAATTAAAAAGGAATTATGTACTTGAAAACTTCAATGGCCTGAAAATTAAAAGGAACAATCATATCGTCATTTCTTTCCTTTTAATGTTTGCCACTGTTGATCAGAAAATGAACACTGGCACCATTGCCAAGGCCTTTGTTGCACACCCAGGGATGTCAAAGACCAAAAACTATAGTTTGGAAACTACAAGCAAAATTTAATAAAGTGTAAGGCGCTTGGCAGAAAATCAAGGCAGCTGATTAGGGAAATGTGTACTATTGTCTCGTCGCAATTACTTTGTTCAAGTTCAAATTGATGCTTTTATAACAAAAGATTCAATTTTGGAGTTTTGAGAAACTTCAGTAGGGAAGCTTTTAGGTGTGTACTATGACAAGGAAACAGTTTTTATGGCCAATAGAATGTTGAGTTGCTGTAGTTCACCCTATTGATTCTTTATACACTATTAAATAGTGATACACAATTTTTTAGTGGCTGATTTGGTCCTTGTTGAATAGAATTGATATAAATTAAATAGCGAGTCTTTGCGAGAAGTGGATCTTTTAAAAAAACTGACACAATAGATGTATCTGCTATCTAGCATATATAGCAAGTATTGTGTAGGAGCAGAAAGCCAGAACTGTCGTTAGAAAAAAACAGAAGCATTACCATTCGCTGGTAAGCTAGTTAAGTTCAATCCCTGCCAAAATTACTTGGAAATGTGTGCTGTGATTTTCCGTTTTTCAGTTGTTTTCCAAAATACTATTGCTTTTGTCACCCTCCCCCTCCCGCAAAAAAAGTTTAAAATAGAGCAAAATGTCAAACAAGCCAGAAGAGAAAACATACCCAAAAGCCCCCTTCATTTTTCTATTGTATATCAAAAATTTTCCTAGGGGGAGAAGGGATGGCTGAATTTGCCTTTGAAAACCTAAGTTGGTTTTTCAAGACATTTGGCAGTGATTGTAAGTATAGACCTTTTCACTGTGACGTCAATCACCATGATTACCTTAGCAACGGAAATCGGTGGTTGAAAACAAATGCGGCCTGAGCCTTAGATACGTTGTAGTTCGCGTATATACATCTCGTTTTTCTTCGTTTTCTTCATTAAAATTCTCGTTCACATCGATTCAAATATTGGCGATGGCTTTTGAATACATCAGCGGCTTGAATGCGCCTGGTAAGAAAAATTATCTCATAAATACGCCTGGTAAGAAAACATATTGATAATCTTTCTTATATTCGACTCCACTCCCACGAATCTGTGCTACATAGTCTTTGTTATGACAATCTGTAATATTCATAGGCCTAAGGTGATTATTTGTTCTTTCTTACCTAAGGGGTGTACTTGAAAGAGGCGATGAAGTCCAGGAAAGTCTTGGAATTTGTTAATCAATTTAATTCTGGGTGGGTCCAGACAGTTTATATCTATAAATTAAAGTCTACAACTGTTTTGTCAGCGAAAGTGATGCATTCGCAAAGGATAAACGAAGAATTTCTGAGACCTTGGGTGGCAGCTTCGGACGATGGAACCATACTCTGTGCACACTGCAACTGCATGGCAAGGTGAGTAAAATCAATGATAAATACTATTTTACAGTCATTATTTTTCCTAGTAAACATTATTTTTCTTGAAAGTAATTTTCAATTATATACAAACGTTAACAAATTGGCTAGGCCTAGCCAAAGCTAGCCCTTTTTCAAAGTTCTAAGCATACAGTCCTTACTAAATTCATAACACTGTTTTATGGCTTAATATATTGACTGGTTGCAAGCTACTTTAACAAGAGGCCAGAATATTCGTTTTCATTGCCCATACCTTAAAAGAAACTTCCAGTAAGCCCTGGCCAAAGCTTTCTAAAATCTATAAATATTTTTATATCATATGCCCTTTTTATCATCTGCTACTTTATAAGATCTGGGGAATTTACATGCACATTGATTTGATTTTTCTTATTAGGCTTGGAGAATCGTGCTCGCACATTGGTGCACTTCTGTTTAAAGTTGAAGCAGCTGTGCGCCTGGGATATACCTCTTTAGCCTGCGCCTCAAAGCCATGTGAATGGAACAATGACTTTGTTAAAGCGATAGAAGGAGTACCTATAGAGGAGATAACTTTTTTTAAAAAAAAGGACAACCCTGCCTCAGTTTAAAAAGCCCCCTCAAATGCTCCTTTCACAGTAGATGAACAGAAGGATTTTTTACAAAGACTGTACAACCTCGAACCAAAGGAGCAACCTGTTGCACTAAGTATTTTTGAAAACTTTTCTACAACATTTCACCATAAAGCCAATGTTAGAGAAAGATCAATTTTGCCAAAATCACCAAGGAGCTTCTTTACCGAAGATGAGCTTAAATATGAGGAGAAAAGGGCGGAGCTTTATGCCCAGAAACTTAGCAAGGCAGATATTCACTATATTGAGTCTGCTACAAGAAGCCAAAGCAAGTCACTGGTTTGGCATGAAATCAGGGTGGGAAGGATAACTGCGTCTTTGGCGCATGACGTCCTGCATTCGAAAATAGATAAGCCAGCAAAGTCTTTGGTATTGAAGATATGTGGCAAATCCAAGCCCCTTAATGTTCCTTCAGTACTTTGGGGACAGGAGAGTGAATCAAAGGCCCTCAAAAAGTATCAAGAACAATTAAAAACACTTCACACAAATGTAATGGTATCAAGGTGTGGATTGATGCTGGATCAAGAGCATACTTTTCTGGGGGCCTCAGCTGATGCCATTGGTCACTGTGACTGCCATGGTGATTTTTTAATTGAGGTCAAGTGCCCATACACACACCGAGATAAAACTAATATCACACAGTGTCTTGGTGACAAAAAGTTTTGTCTGGACAATGATTTAGAATTGAAAAGTAGCCATAGATACTACACTCAAGTCCAAATGCAAATGCAAATCTATGGGTACAAGGTTTGTCACTTTGTTGTTTGGGGTCCTCATTTTTGCAAAGGACTTACAATTCCTTACAAGGAAGACTTAAAAAACTCTATGAAGTTTTTGATCGAATACCACAAAAAAGTAGTTTCGCATGAACTAGTTTCGCGCAAACTAGAAAAAAGTGAAACATTCATGGAAGGGCAGCAAGAATTAGAAAAAGAGGTTTTTTGCTATTGCCAGCAACCAGAGAGTGATGAAAGCATGATTGGATATGATAATCCACAATGTAAATTCAAATGGATACACTTCAAATGTATCAAGCCAAATCTTAAGCGACCACCAAAAGGTGCATGGTACTGTAAAGACTGCAAGAAAAAGAAATAACTATTTAAGAATATGAAAACTTCTATATTTTTTCATTATGTTTCTTTGTATACAATACCAGGTGATAGATTAATTAAACTTGAACAGACTGTCACTAATTTCTCAATGTGTGGTACTCCTCCTGAAACTTCCTCTTTTTTTGATTTTACGAGGTTTAACGGCAGTGGTCCTTGGGACAGAATCCCATATCGATTCTTCAGGAGACCTATAACCCGCTCTACCTGGATCCTGACATTGGCAATCTTTCTTGTTATTTCAACTGACATTGGCAATCTTGCATCTAGCTGTTTCTTTCCCTTTGTGAACTGTGGAATGATAAGTTCCGCACTGCATGCCACAGCAAAGTCATCAACAAGGGTGAATCCCCTGTCAGCTAAAATTTGGTCACCTAGAAAATCAATAAAGTATTTTGAATAAGACAAATATTGTGTTGGTATGTGATACATGCATTGATTGGAAAATGAAAGCTACTTCAAGGGTGACATGATAAAATCTTTATTTGCCTCTTGCCAACTTCAATATTAAGCAATTAAGTTTTATGCCTATCTCTACACAGAGTTTTAAAAATTGAGACAATTCTACCACTAAGAAAAACCTAAGCAATAAACATTATGTTACCAAACTGGCTTATCATAGAACTTTTTCAATAAAATTCAAAGCCTACTAAATTTTTAAAAAAATATATTGGTTGCACCTGGAAAATGATATTTTGGGCTGATAAATCCAGATGACCTAACTATTTGTACATCTGAGGCCCTTCCTCCCCATGCCTTTGAGAGAAATGTCACCACACCAAGAGGGCTACAGCACAACAGGAATTTTACAGTGCTGTGCTTTTTGTAGTTTGAATATACTTGTGCCCTTGCTTTGAGTTTGCTTGGGCGCTCTATAAAAACCTCAAAACAATCGATTATGGATGTCAGCCTCGGAAAATTCTCTTTAAATACTGGTGGCAAAGTCTCACGGATGTGTGATCTGTCAGGCCATTGCACTAAAAATTTTAACTTCAGATACATCAAATTTATGATGTTCTTAAATGTTTTATTCAAACTGCCAATTGAGAAGCCAGTTTGAAATCTAATGTAGCAGAATGGCAAATTCAGTTGCAGACGGACTAGCGCCACGAACAGCTGACTTTCAGGGGGCAGGTTCTTTCTTGGCACCTTGATATGGGGCACCAAGGAATCAGCTAAAACCCTATACACGTTCCAGAAAAGACCAGTCAAATAGCGTGTTGCATCATCATTTTCTTTCATGACATAAGGATTGTATCTTGATAATAATAACTAGAAGAAAGAAAAATATCTTACTCATAAATTAGTCACAGCTAAGGAAAGGTCTTATATTTTTGCAGAAACATCAACTTTCAAGACCAGCCTATTTGTGTGAAAAACCATAAGGTTTAGAAGAATGGTGTTTGACCATTAATTAGAATGTTGCAATATTCAAATATGTCCCCTAAAAGGTAATTAATAGTGAATTATAAACTATAGGTTTTCTTTGATTTTTGTAAGGAAATAATTTCTTTTAGGAATTATTTATTGAACAAATATTCTTATTTGTTGTTCCAAACAACTAATCTTTGTGAGCAATGCTTCTTTTTCTGACCTCAAAAAATCCACCTCCTGTGACGACTCTGGAAATTGGGGGATTTGTGCACTTTCAGCTGAGATGTCTTGAAATGGAATATCCAGCTGGATATCATCACCAACTCTACAGCTAACAGCTTCCTTCACTTTCATCACCTTCAGCACTAGCACTTTCTTCTGTATTCATATCTTTTACCATCTTTGCCCTTTTTCTTGCGCTTTCATACCTTCTCAACTGACTTTCTTCCTTTGCTTCAATAGTGGGCTTATGTTTGAATACTGTCGGAATAAAATCTGGATGTTTTGGATCCTTCGATGGCCCACCTTGTGGGTGAAGAATTTTTTTTCCAATTATATGCACAATTTTGATTAAACTTTTGGATTAAAATGTTAATTTTGTGTCTAATAAAATAACATAGCCTAATAAAATTAATAAAAGTTTGAACCAAATGCAGATTAATAATCTCTATCGGTGCGATTATTATTCCCAATTATGAGCCTCCAAGGAAGAGGGTAAACTCTGTGTTCATTCTAGAAACCAAGTAAAAACGGGCCTACCGCTTTCCGAATCTATAACAACTATGAACAAAAGTAAAAACTGAAAAGATATAAAATGTATTTACCAGAGATGAAATGCTCTGAACACAAGAAAACATTGATTCCTTTAGGCATCCATGGGCTTCCGTCTTCGTTGATTCTTTTGACAGCATTAACCCACTTTTGCCATTTCTTCTTGTTTTTCACTTGGTTTGGGAACCGATGGAAGCTCAAATCCAGGCTTCCCCATCATATTGTGGTTTGAACAACCTACAGCTACACAGCTTTTTGGCATTTTTTTGATGATCGAAAGAGAAAGGCGACGCAACTGTAGTTATTTTGACTAAGTTTGGCCTAAGTGCCTACTACGGATGCGCATTTGTTTTCATCCACCTCTTGTTGCCAGGCGCTGTTGCGAAGGCGTAAAGAAAAGGTCTATTGACTTTGCAACCGAATTCATACCCTCGGTTTCCAATCAAACAGACTTTTTTGCACAATTTTCAATTGTAATGTCCTCAACTTACAAATTTCTCTCATTCGGTTAGAAAATAGAGTAAGTTTCAATTGTTTCTTACATAAAATCACATTTAATATTTCTATAAGATCAGTTTATATTTATTATTGAAGTAAACTGTAACTACAAAAATGACTAATTTTGCTAAAATATGGTAAAATGTCTTCCTAACCTAGCAATCACATGCTTATATATCAGTTTCTAGTGTATTAGCAGTAAAAAGAAAAGATTCGCTGATATACATGCTCAAAGGAACGGATATTGTTGAAAAAAATGTCAAACAAAAAGTTAGAAGACCACCTTCAGTTGGTATTGAAGTAGAATGGTTGTTTGAATAAAGCTTTTCCAAATGGAAAGTTAAACATTTGATCAACACTGCTGAAAACTACTTTCTCAAAACCGCCATATTCCTCAAGGCTTATTTATCAGCATGTCAATAATGAATTAGATATAAGATATGCTTTGAAGAGATTACACCATTGATTGTGCTGTGTCTTTATCTAGGCATAACGCATTTAAGCTTATTGTATGAATTTCCCCTGGTGATGGTGCTCTTTTTATTACTGATTGCTCTCTTGCTTCTTTAACAGAGGGAGAATGAAAAGAAAAAAAAGAGAGAGGACACTAATATAAACTATTTTTTGGGACGAGCCATGAAGCAATTAAAAAGGAATTATGTACTTGAAAACTTCAATGGCCTGAAAATTAAAAGGAACAATCATATCGTCATTTCTTTCCTTTTAATGTTTGCCACTGTTAATCAGAAAATGAACACTGGCACCATTGCCAAGGCCTTTGTTGCACAGCCAGAGATGTCAAAGACCAAAAACTATACTTTGGAAACTACAAGCAAAATTTAATAAGGTGTAAAGCGCTTGGCAGAAACTCAAGGCAGCTGATTAGGGAAATGTGTATTATTGTCTCCTTGCAATTACTCTGTTCAAGTTCAAATTGTTGCTTTTATAACAAAAGATTCAACTTTGGATTTTTGAGAAATTTTAGTAGGGAAGCTTTTTGGTGTGTACTATGACAAGGAAACAGTTTTTATGGCCAATAGAAGGTTGAGTTGCTGTAGTTCACCCTATTGATTCTTTATACACTATTAAATAGTGATACACAATTTTTTAGTGGCTGATTTGGTCCTTGTTGAATAGAATTGATATAAATTAAATAGCGAGTCTTTGCGAGAGGTGGATCTTTTAAAAAAACTGACACAATAGATGTATCTGCTATCTAGCAGCCAGAACTGTCGTTAGAAAAAAACAGAAGCATTACCATTCGCTGGTAAGCTAGTTAAGTACAATCCCTGCCAAAATTACTTGGAAATGTGTGCTGTGATTTTCCGTTTTTCAGTTGTTTTCCAAAATACTATTGCTTTTGTCACCCTCCCCCTCCCGCAAAAAAAGTTTAAAATAGAGCAAAATGTCAAACAAGCCAGAAGAGAAAACATACCCAAAAGCCCCCTTCATTTTTCTATTGTATATCAAAAATTTTCCTAGGGGGAGAAGGGATGGCTGAATTTGCCTTTGAAAACCTAAACTGGTTTTCTAACAGATTTGGCACTGATTGTAAGTATTGACTTTGCAACCAAATATATACCCTCGGTTTCCAATCAAACATACTTTCTAGCACAATTTTCAATTGTAATGTCCTCAACTTACAAATTTCTCTCATTCGGTTAGAAAATAGAGTAAGTTTCAATTGTTTCTTACATAAAATCACATTTAATATTTCTATAAGATCAGTTTATATTTATTATTGAAGTGAACTGTAACTACAAAAATGACTAATTTTGCTAAAATATGGTAAAATGTCTTCCTAACCTAGCAATCACATGCTTATATATCAGTTTCTAGTGTATTAGCAGTAAAAAGAAAAGATTCGCTGATATACATGCTCAAAGGAACGGATATTGTTGAAAAAAATGTCAAACAAAAAGTTAGAAGACCACCTTCAGTTGGTATTGAAGTAGAATGGTTGTTTGAATAAAGCTTTTCCAAATGGAAAGTTAAACATTTGATCAACACTGCTGAAAACTACTTTCTCAAAACCGCCATATTCCTCAAGGCTTATTTATCAGCATGTCAATAATGAATTAGATATAAGATATGCTTTGAAGAGATTACACCATTGATTGTGCTGTTTCTTTATCTAGGCTTAACGCATTTAAGCTTATTGTATGAATTTCCCCTGGTGATGGTGCTCTTTTTATTACTGATTGCTCTCTTGCTTCTTTAACAGAGGGAGAATGAAAAGAAAAAAAAGAGAGAGGACACTAATATAAACTATTTGTTGGTTTTATGACCTGTAGTAACAACTAGTAATTCCAGTGTATGTAGACCATCTTTTAATCACTAAAAAACTACAAAAGTCCCGGATGTGGGGAACTGGGTCTAGTAAATAATTTTGCTTAGAATTACAGGATATGACATCTCCTTTTCCTACAGATTACAAAATCCAGATTACAATTATTTTGTTTTTTTAAATAAGTTAATAGTAACAACAATAACAACAACATGATGTGTACTATTGTTCCTAGTCGTAAGTCTGTTATTATGGAAGGTAGTCTTGTAAATATGCTGGTCTTTTTCTGTGATTTTTGGGTTTCTCTTTACTTAGTTGGGAACAACTTGGTGGTGGTCTGCAGTCTGTCTTGGTTGGTGTCTCTGTGTGTGAATTCTGTTGGTTGGTTTCTGTAGGTTTCTGTAGGACTTTAGTCTGATCACTGTAGCTTGTTGGCTCTACTTCTTCTGTAGTGGTGTTATTTTATAGTTCTTCTCTCCAATCAATGTCTGGTACACTATACTGGGTCTTTTCTTCCTGTCACTTTGCATCACAGCATTCGCAAGTTTTAAGTGGTTTGCGTCTCTCATCAGTTCTCGTCCATCTTGTAGACGTTTTACTGTAACTCTAGATTCTTGAAATTTGGTAATCACATAAAATGTGGTTTCATATGGTGTGGACCACTTGTTGGTTTTCCTCTGTTTCAGGAGTACATAATGACCTTGTATGAAACTGTGAGCCTTTGCTGATGAACTGTTGTCCATCCTAGCCTTGTACCGTTCATCTCGTTCATTGATTAGCTGATCCTGTCTGTTTGGTTCATCTTTGATAGGTGGTGTATAGTCTAGCTTAGTCCCTATTGTTCGGTGACAATCTTCACCAAACATTGGTTTGCTGTTCGCTGTTCGCTGTTCATAGCTTTGTAAGGTGACAATCTTTCTGGGACTCCATGGTGTGCAAATATCTTCTTGAGTTTCTCTTTGGTAGTTTTATATCCAGTGGAGTAGAGTGGTTCCACTTCTGGATATCTTGTTCGCTTGTCTATTGCACCTAAATATTAATGACCATCTGGGTATGGTCCAATGAAGTCAACTGATATCACTTCTCATGGTTTTGCTGGGATAACTGATGGTTTTATTGGTTCCTTTTCCGCTTGTCTGCTTGTCACTTTACATTCATAGCACTGTCCTGTGGTATGTTCAACCATAGAGTTGAGGTATGGAAACCAGTACTTTGCTATCGGCATGCTTTTTGTCTTGGTTGCGCCGAGATGTCCTGAATTGTGTGCGATGTCAATCACCTTTTAATGTAGCTTTACTGGTAACACGATCTTGTCCAATCTGAAGATGAGGTCTTCTGCTACGCAGAACTCATTCTTGATTGAGTAAAACGGTGCAGTGTCTGTATCTCGTCTGTGGTTTTCCTAGTCGCCTTTTGTGATGATGGTTCTGAGCTTTAAGAGTGTTTCATCTTTTCTGGTTTCTTCTTTTATTTTGCTTAGGAGTACTGCTGGTCTATCATTGATGATAGCTTTCACTGTATGTTCTGTGTCTTCATCATCTGTGATTGGTAAAGGATGATGTGACAAAGAGTCCAGAAGGTCTTGTTCATCTTTTCCGGGCTGGTACTTCATCTCAAAATCAACGTCTTCCATAGCCATTACCCATTTCTCTATGCGGGGTGGTTAGCTGTTGCTTTGTTAAAAAGTGTTAACAGTGGTTTGTGTGCTGTGATGATAGTGAAACGTGGTGCTCCAAGTAGGTAGATGCTGAATCTTTCTATGGCCCACTTTACGCAAAGTGCATCTATCTCTGCCTGGCCGTATTTCTTCTCAGTCTCTGTCAGCGTTCTACTTATAAAGTGAACTGGTTGCCATCCCTTCTCGGTCTTCTGGAATAGCCTTGCTGATAGTCCTTCATTGTAACTGGCTTCTGTTCTGACCATAATTGGTAGCTTTGGATTGAAGAACGCAATCACATCATTGCTGGATATGCTGTCTTTAAGCTTCTGAAAAGCTTCTTCTTCGTCTTCATTCCAATGAAATTGTGTTTCTTTTAATGTCAAGTCTTTCAGTGGCTTTCTCAATGATGCATATTGAGGGATAAACTTTGATCCGATAGTATCTGATCGCACCGAGGAAACTTGTTACCTCTGTCTTCGATTATGGTCTTTTTGCATTCCTTCAAAGCTTCAACTTCTCTTCTGTGGGCTTTAGACCTTGTGAACAGAATTTATATCCATAGAATTCAATCTCACTTCTTCCAAACTGGCACTTTTCACGGTTTAGAGATATACCAAAGTTGTAGTGTCTGGTTGTGTTCTTTCCAGTCTTTTGCTCCAATGAGTATATCATCCCTTTGGTTTAAGCAGCATGGGATGTCGCCAAATATTTTCTGCATAGCATCATCAAAAGGTCTTGCGACACTTTCACTCCAAATACCAGTCTTTTGGGTCTGTGATTACCCCATGGTGTGCTGAAGGTTGCTATGGTTCTGGATTCGGGATCAAGTACAAGCTGGTGATATCCTTGGCGAAAGTCTAGCTTTGACCATATGGTGAAATCATGGAACTTGTGTACAAAGTCTTCTACTATTGGTGGTTGTGTTATTCTGCTACGCTCAATGTAACTGTTAGGTACCCGTAAATCTACACTGGCACATATCATTTGTGGTTGCAGGTGTTCTTTTTCAGTGTTTATGAAGCTTGGTTTAAGTTGTACGAAAACAGGTGAAAACCATGTGATGGATTCATTCTCTGGGACTTTCTCAAACAGGTCTTCTTGTACACCCTGGTCTAATCATTGTTTGAAAGGTTCTTGCAAGTAGTAGGGTAATTGTCTTGGCTTCTGTGCTATCGGTGCAGCTTCCGGTTTCATGTTGAGCTTTCCATACATCTCTTTTTTATTTCTTTTGTCATGGATTTTTCCAATACCTTCAAACACGTGATTGTATTGTTCAACTATGTTCAACATCTCCTGCATTTCTGTGTTTTGTTTTGCTACTTTGACATGTCTGTTATTAGGTTGTGCAAGTCCTTTATCTGCTTGAATCTTCATCATACTAAGCTCTTAAGTGTAGCTTTACTCATCAGAGGTGGTGAATTGATGCGTCCGTAGACAACTACAAATCTTACACTTTTTCCACATGTCGGATACTTGATTTTGTTGCCTCTTGTTCTGCTAGTGGTTGGTTTTGCACCTACTTTTGCTACTCTGGTGCCTTCATCATAATATGTCTTCATTTCTTGGACTTGTCGGTTGACATCTTCAAGTTGGCTAATTTCTTGTAGAAATTCCGTTAAATTTCTTATTAATGGTCTTTTGAATCACTGCTTTGTCATCGATAGTTTGTTTGATATGTTCTAGGACTCTTTCGTCATTTGTATCCCCAAATTCACATTTATTGGCCTTCTCTCTCATTCGTGCCGTGTAAGCTGTAATTAGAGTGTTTATGATTCTGGACGCGCCATCTGAAGACGCTCTTTGTAGGCACGTGACTTTGGCAGACGCGTCTTTTCGAGAAATTTCGATTATGATTTTGAGAACGTAGATCAGGACGTGCGGCGAATCTTATCTTCAGATTAGCCATAGACGATTTCTTGCTGGAGCTCCATTTTTTAGGTGATATCGACGATGAAGAATTCATACACTTGTATGATCTAAATCGTCGAATAAATTTACATGTTAATCTGCCATATTGGCAGTATCCAAAATTTGACCTAGAGCAAATGCGTGAAGATGAATGTTTGGTGGAATTTAGATTCGCCAAAAATGACATATACGGCCTAGTCAACACACTGCAAATCCCTGAGGTTATACGGTGTTACAATGGCTGGAAGGTGGATGCAGTTGAAGCTCTATCCATCTGCCTGAAAAGACTAGCATATCCGTGCAGATATTGCGATATGATCCCGAGATTTGGCAGGCCTGTCCCGCAGCTGCGCACAATGTTTAACACTGTTGTGAACACTATTTACAACAACTTCGCACATCTTCTCAGGGACATCGATCAACCTTACCTATCCCCAGCAAATCTTAAATTGTATGCAGATGCCATCCATGCAAATGGGGCAGCCCTGGAAAATTGCTGGGGTTTTGTAGACGGCACTGTCAGGCCAATATGTCGACCAACTAGGAATCAAAGGGTCGTTTACAATGGGCACAAAAGAGTCCACGCATTGAAGTTTCAATCAGTTGTGGCTCCGAATGGCCTTATTGCGAATCTTTTTGGGCCCGTTGAAGGACGCAGGCATGACAGTGGTATGCTTGCTATGTCAGGGTTATTAGGCCAACTTGAACAGCACTCTTTCTCTGAAGAAGGGCAGCCCCTCTGCATATATGGTGATCCTGCCTACCCAAACAGGGTTCACCTGCAATGTCCTATCATAAGAAGGAGACCTTTAACAGAAGACAAACAAGCCTTTAATACCTCAATGAGTAGGGTTCGTGTTGCTGTTGAATGGATTTTTGGGGACATTGCAAACTATTTTAAGTTTATAGATTTTAAGAAAAACCTTAAAATTGGAATGAGTGCTGTTGGGAAAATCTATGTAGTTTGTGCCCTTTTAAGAAATGCCCTGACATGTTTATATGGCTCCACAACATCAACCTTCTTCAATGTGAAACCTCCAAAATTGATGAATATTTTAGGTAAGGTTGATTTTTCAAATTCCACCAAGATTCTGGCAGAGGAGAGGAACCAATCACATCTTTGCATGACAACAGAAACGGTTTTTTTAAAAGCCACCAAAGTTACCAAGACCCATACACACATGATACACATTGAAAATCACGATATCAGTGAAGCTTTTCAAATATTGAGAACATATAATGCAAAAAAAATACTTCAACAAACCCAATTACAATCAACACAACAAAAATTAATTAGGTATAAACTTCCATATAATGAAAGAACATTATTTAGGTTAATAAGACCTAATAAGCACATAGAAGGGGTAAACTAAGTTTAAGCAGAATGTTAATTACCATAAAAATTTACAAAAATCCAAGGATTGGCTCAGGCCTATAATTTTCCAACAAGAAAACACACTTCATAAAATATCTCGAGAAGGGTTTCAAAGCTGAAATTAACCAACAGAAAAATAAATTGAAGGGGGCTTAAGGTGGTAATTAACACTAAATTTCTTAGAAGCACTAACATTAAACAAAATCACTTTCCAAAAAGGCTCTATGATGCAAGACAAAATAAACTTAGCTGATGTGAATGCATAGAATGGACTATCATTCTGACGGATTTTTTATTTGTTTATTCTATAAATAGAATATGCAAATTAGCGAAATGCGCACGCAAGGGTAAAACTTGGAGATGTATTTATTAAGAGACTGTTAATCATGCACTTATAAAATCTTGCATGTAGCTTAAACTATTGAACCTCTATGCAATGAGTGTAACACTTTTTAAAAAAATGATTCATAATGCTTTCTATTCCAAATAAGGATGTTTTCCATAGCAACGGTTGCCATGGGAAACAAAAACTATTTTTTTCCACTCATTGCACTCTTCAAGTCTAATCCTATGCCACTGCAAAATTTCATGAGTGTACAGTAAAAGATTTGGAGTACACTTAGTACACTTATTTGGAGTATGGTGTGGTACTAAAATCTCCTATTTTGAGAAAACGGCTGTTAAAGTTTTCATATAATTTTCATGTTGACAGAGCGGGTTATATCATCTAAAATCAGTTTTAAAACTTAAATAAGACTTCCAGCTCATAAGCCAGAAGAGTTACCATGAATCCTTTCAAAGATAGGTTCTCTAAATAGAATTTTAGGTTCCTCTGTAATGCTGTCCTCTGATAACTCTTCATCTTGCGTTTTTTATGTTTTCCAGTATTTCCTTTTCTCTGATTTTTTCCCAAAGTCTTGCTTCCTATGGATGGTTTTCTTTTTTTAGCAACTGGAAAGTCTGGCTCAGGGTTAGTGCCAAAGCCCCCTGGTAAATAACTCATGTCACTTTTCTTTTTGATGCTTGTCTCCTTCTTGTTCTTGTTCTGATGTATTTCTCAGAGATCTTTTGAGCTGCTGATTGTAGCCTAGTTTTATCTTGAAATCTGAGCCCTCTAAATGTGTTTTTTCCAGTGTGTACCCCTGACTTCTCAGACAGCTTGGCTTTGGATGCAGCACCTGTATTTGAAACAGCAATTGTTTCACACACTGCAACCACGACTCTTCTCTTGCCACAAAATCTGGTCTTGGGACACCTTGCCCAGACTTGTCCATTGACACACTCATTCTGATTTTGTGTCATGCCGGCAAGACATCTCTGAAGGAGAACTCTATCAGAAAGTCTTGTAAAAATGGGCTTTAATTCATCATGAAACACCTCTGGTAGTCTGCCTTCTTCAGAATATGATTTTGTATTATGAATTTTATCTTTCACAAATTTGCACCAAGTGTCGCTGGCTTGGGGACAATAACGATGTTGTTGCTCAAGGCTTTCATTTGAGTTGGCAATAGTGTGGCAAAATATTGCCCAAACAGCTCTATGCATTCCTTCCAAATTATTTTTGTTGCTCCTGATTGCCTTTCCATAATACCCTTGAATTTTATCAATTACAAGATCTGTGAGCCTTGCTTTACCACCAACAGTTTTTCCATCAGAAAGTTTCATTCCTTTCTTCCCTTTCTTGTAACTTCTAAGAGCTGTTCCCATCCTTTTTTGTATGTGGCCCACACAGTCCTCTTTTACAATTGGATATCTGTCTCCATACTTGTCTTGTATGGCAGCTTTCACTTTACCAAATGAATTTGAATCACCATCACCTACATATGTGGTATACTTGAGATGTCTCTTTTCGATTGATCTGGAGAATATATCAACTGCTGCAGATGATTCCATAGCATCGGAGGTTCCCTTATGATTTATGTTACAAAATGGTTTATGTGTCTCCTGCCATTGATTTATCTCATCTGTATCATTTCCAAGTTTCTTAGTGGCTTTGCTGCATTGGTGACACACCAATGACTTAACTTCATAGTCTAATATATCTCCAGTTCTAGCAGACATGACAAAAACTATGCCAATCTTTGATGCATGTCTTCTTCGTTGCCATGTGCCATCCACTGTCACACTACATGGTAGTGCTCCATCAGAGTCTTCATCGATGAGTTCTGGATTCTCAGAAGAGATCAAATCTCTAAGACGTTGTGCGGCAGCACGCATCACTTCCTCTGCATGTGTCACTGATGCAGACTCTATAAACTTCACTTGGGCAGCAAATGCTGGTTGAGAAATTGGAGCAGGAAGGTTCATTTGTGTGCAAAAGTTCTGTAGGCTTGACCGTCCTCCCCCACTGGACATTGTGGCTATCACTGATCTTCTGTTTACTTCATATGATCCACCTCCTTTTCCACCAATCTGTTTGCTTGTTTCAAGGTTGTAAGAAAAGTTGCAATTTTTACAAGTAACAACACATTTTTCAGCAAGTCCATCTCTTTGACTATTTATTTGTTTTATAACAAGCTCAGACTTTGATTTACGACATTTTCTACAAACTGTTGCTTCGTTCAAAAATTGCTGCAGCAGTGTGAAGTCCTGTAATTTATAGCCATGGGCTTCCTCAAATGTTGGGGGTTTCAGTCCAAGATTTACCCGAGCACTTCTTGTAAGCTGTGGTATACTGTTTTCAAATTCCAAAAATGATGAATTGTAAAGTTTATGTTGGCTTCTGCTCGTTTTTTTGTCATCTGGGGTGCTATGATGGTGAAGTGCTAGCTCTATTTCACTTCGTTGATGGCTAGGCCCCGGCCGCGGCTCACCTGCTGCTTCATCCTCAGCCAACGAACTGCTAATGGTGAAACTTTCCAACTCTAGCTGTGAATTTAAATTATTTTCTGATTCTTTATTTCCTTTTCCATAAAAAACTTTCTTTCTTTTCTTTCGAGTTACAGATCTAAACTTTTTCCTCACCATGTAGGACTGTTGGAATAGCTTCGGCTTTTTCTTCCGTTCTTTCAATTGAATTGAATTGAACTGAATTGTGGGTAGAAACGGACTGGACCTTTGGAATACTGGAGAGTAGATTTTTTCCGAAATACCTTGTGGGGTGCCTGAGAAACTTCCAAAATTGTCACCCTAGCAACCAAACTTTTCGGTTGCTAAGCACACTAACTAATTGTTTGGGGCTTTTTTCACCCTTTATGATTAGGATAATTTGAAAAAATTCTTTTCATACAAATTTTGAAGCATTAAAGTACTACTTGACATAAAAATCCCAGATTAGCAGTTTCTCACCAAGACCAGTATTTTTTACTGTTAATGACCACCTTAAGTCCCAAACACTCCCATAATTACTGCTACTTCCTGTCTTGTTTATTTTAATCATTTTTACCCAAAGTAGCCTCCCATCAAGGGGCTGGTTTACCAGGGAGCCTATTATACAAAAATAGAAAATAAAGTTTCTACTACCATATCTAATAGAATCTGAATGTAAATTAAACATATTCACATGAAACAAAAGCAAAAGGAAAATCATTAAGTCTAAAAAGTAAAGTTTTTACTCAAGGACCATATTTTGAATTGGTACACCACAAAAAGTTTATTAATTGAAAAAATGCTTCTTTACGTGACATTGAAAAACCTGACATTTAAGAGTTTTTTCCTTTTACTTGATTCTTGTTACAAATGGCAAAAAGCTGTGTCAAAGAGAAAGTTTTGAAAAGAATTGAAAATCTAAACTACACTAAACATTATTGACTTTTTCCTACTTTTCAGTCAATTTTTTCAGCAAATCAAGTATATGCAGATTTTGCTGAGAAATTTGATTGAAAAGTAATTGCTGCTGCTGAAGCAAATTCATCAATTTTGTTTCACGCTCTACAATGCACTCTATCTTTTTTCTCCTGTCTTCTCCTTCCCTTTCTTTAAGTTCCAACTCTTGCTTTTTTAATTCATAATTTTGTTGATGGGCTGTTTCCCTAAAACGCAATTCCCTCTCTTTAAGCTCTAACTCCAGTTTCTTTATATCAACCTCCTCATCATGCCTTCCTTTCAAATAATCCATTGCTTTCCATTCCAGTTTATTTTCCATTCTTTTTTTCTTAACACCACCTTCAGATACATCCCTTCCTCTGCTCTCTCTGACAGTCTCCATTGCTCTCTTCCTGATATTCTCTGCAGCTTCTCTCTCTCTCTCAACTTCCTTACTTCTTTTCCTATCAGTCTGGACAATTTCCTCTTCAGCTCTCTCCATCCTCCCAATTATTGTCTCTACAGCCTCATCTAATTCAGACATTTCTGTAGCAATGCCACTAGCCCTTTGCTCCTTTGCCATCTTCCTCTCAAAGTCTCTAATTAGTTTGAGAAAGTGGTCTCGAACAGCCCTCTTATCCACCATGAAGGATGGATGTGCAAGACCATTTAAATTTTTAGCCACTGTGTCCCAGCAATGACCACGCTCACGAGAACCCAACTTAAATTTGTATGGTTCCACCACCAACACTTCTCTACACAACATTATGTTGTGCTCCTCAGTCCAAATCATTTTTTGCCTGTACAGTGAATAATTTTTCAAGTCAAAGCAATGCAGTGCTTGAAAGAAAGCCACTATGAAATTTTCAACTTTTCTGTGGATGGTTTAACGAAACAAATTTACTTCAGAGACACATCTTGAATGCAGTATATATTGCTGCAGGGCTATATCAAAATATTTAAAAGATCTCCATCCATGCATTCATTTGTTTTACATAAGCCAAATAGATGCTTAATGTGCACAGGATTTTCAGATGTTAATTTGATAGCTTAATGTTGCTGCATGGTTGTAGCCTGCACTTTTCATTGCGTATAATAAGAAATGCTAAATGAAAACACTTTGGCAAGCTCAAATTAGTGATGAGTAATATGTCAAATAGTTTAATGAGAATTCACACGAGGATCAAGAATTATATTTTCCATCATAAATTTTATTTGAGATCTCACAGGCGGGTTTTCCATATGCTACAAAAATGGCATATGGTGTTTTTACATGCGCTTCAATGATATTAGCATAAAATACGTATTCTTGAACTAAAACAAAATGTTACATTGTGTGTGCAAATCTACTTATGATATTCAATGTTTTAGGGTTACGAACGTCTGATGTTGTTTCTCAGCATTTACTTGCTCGCAGGCCATTTTGTACGGTGGATGATTCTTCTGTAAATAAAACAAAATGAATGATAATTCAAGCGAAATCCTATCAGAACGAAAGATCGAAAATCAATCGAGAAGCCTTGAGCTTATTTTAGTCTTTGGAATAGAATTCAATGGGTTCTTACCTCAAAGTTCTCTTGGATAAAACTGGACATCGATTATGCTGTTTTCGCGTTCAGTTAACGATGAAGACGCTCTTGCTGCCAAGGGGGATGTCGCGACCGCGCTAGTTTCTAGACCCCTTAGGCGCGTCTTCATGTGGCGCGTCCAGAAGCATAAACACTCTATTATACTACAGAAACCACAGTCCTCTTAAACTAATTGAAAACATTTGAGACAAGAATATTGTCAAAGCCCAATTACCCCAAAACATGTTATGCAATGAGTCTGCATTAAGATGAGTAACATTTACAAAGGATCATGAATCAATGTAATGAATGAATGCCACAAGCATTGTTCTTAAATGTGGTGGTTTGCTGTCCAAGCAATATTGAATTAATGGTATGTGCATATTAGTGAGGGGAAAAGCCAGAACAATTGTGCATTTAATGAAGAAAGCATTAACATTTGCATACCTATAGACTTTGACATGCTGAAAACAATGAGATCAGGACTCCAACTGTAATATACCACAAAGTAATATTTTCGTTTCTCTTTTTCTGCTTTGGTTTTTTCGATATATAACATTTTTCTTCGATATCGCATTGCCATTGTACATCGTTTCTCATTTGTATAGATTTTATGGAAAAACCCTTTGTCAACATTTTTCAACAGCTTTCCGCATTTCGCAATATAATATTTTTGTTATCGCGTTGCCATTGTCCATCGCTTCCCATTTATCGAAATTCTATGGGAGAACCTTTGTCAACGTTTTACAACAGCTTTTCGCAATTAGATAAGAAGTTTTATAGGGCTCATTGATATCTTTTCAGAAAGTTTTCAAAACATTTTTCTCTCTCTCTTCAGCAGCGATATCTATGCTCTGACGCAAGGTGTAAAGTACGGAGGGGTTGGCAAGGGTAATCAAATAAAGACTCATGAGAAAAATTCTGCACAAAAAACTCTTTACTTTTGCGAAAAGCATGGCCGCATTTTCGCGCATCACCACATGTAACCAAGTATATGGTTAGAAAACTTGAACATTTGATTCTGAATTCTGTATAAATAGGAGAATAAAAATACTAATAATGCTATAAAAGAACTTTTGAGAGTAAAACATGGAAATGTGTTCAAAATGTAGGGCTTACAGAAAAATGATGCTGTCAAGCTTCGAAGTAAAATTCAGAATAACAAACGGAGCTTTTAGATGCCTGAAAAATATAAAACGAGCCCCACAAGGGCTAAAAGAAATGTAATGATAAAAAACTTAATCATTGAAATCAGAAAAAACAGGAGAGCTTAAGGGGGTAACCCATGAAAATACGTAAACGAGAACCACGAATAGACCGGGGCTTGCAAAATGTATTGAAGCAAGTTTCAATCTTGCCTCGATATTGCAACCGTAATACATTAAATCTTTATGCACATTTCAGTGAATGGGAGGCTAGCTCCCCTATGAAGCCCACTACGCAGGCACTCGATAGCTGCGATAAGTGATAGAACACCGTAAATTCTCGAATCAGCCTCCCCCCCTCGAATAAGCCCCCACTGCTACCGTTAATTCTAGAATTTGACCCCTCAATTTGATGAATTTTTGCCATCTGAGGTTTCCTTTGGCATTTCATTGAATTACCACAAAAATTCATACTTTTGGTAATAATTAATTAAATGCTCATAAAGAAATTCCTACTAAAATAAACGAGATCTTTTAATAATGTCTTCTTAATGTCTACAATAATTTTAAAAGCCCTTCCCCTCGTATAAGCTCATCTCTCTCGAATAAGCCGCCATTCAAAAATACCAAAAATAAATAAGCCCCTAGGATGCTAATTCAAGGGGGCTTATACGAGTGGGGCTTACTTAGGTGGTAAAACATTAAAATATTTAAGCGAAAAACACGAATAGACCTTTGCAAATGTTTTGAAGATATTGACACCATCATCACCAGGAGTCAGAACATCATCAGAACATCTGCTCTCACCTTTTTTCACTGGGATTGAGATTTTTCTTTAGCGATACTAGCAATGGCTACTGACCAAGATACGGAAAATGACATGGACAAAATCTTTAATATTATTGCAGCTATTCGTGGCAAAAAGAATTGTCCTGATAGAGATTTTATCTGCTGCAAAGCTGAGTCCTTGCATGGCCTAAATAAAGAAATGGTTTCAGATGCTCTAGATGAAATTGTTCGTGCTGATTTGTTATATATCAAAGAATCCTATTTTACGAATGAAACTGAAGCTGACAATGAACCAGTTAGAGAAAAACTATCGAAGTTAAAAAGTTTATCGCTCAATTCAAATCATGGCGTCAAACAAGCCTCAGACGAACTTGATGCATCTAGTGCACGTGCAACCATAAACAGGGACCCACCCAGTCCCGATTCTGATAACACAATGGCACCTTTTTGGCTTGATACTACAATTTTCCAAATGGCCAGTCAGCTATCAAAATCAGTTGCTGACTTGAATCAGCTTTTGTCAAAGGAGCGGGAAAAATGCCATCGCCTCATGCTGGAAAACATTGATCTTTAATCAAAGCTTCGCCATGATGGAAATCTTCAAGATCGATCACATGATACCTCGGACAATCAAGCTGACAATAGAAATGGTCCAACTGTTGTGTACGAGAATACAAAACAAACAACAAATGACAATAGAAGTCCAAACAACAATAGAAATACCCGTAAAGCAAAAAATAGGAGACAAAGACAAATGAAATCAAGCGTATTGAATTCTGCAACAAGTTCATGTGAACAGGTAAACAATTCTGTGAATTCTGTGAATCCTGAAGTGCAAATTGAAATGAATTACAACGAGGAAGCCTCAACTTCACCGGTCAGTGCCCCAAATGTCAGCGTTTGCGATGTCGGTGGTATTGTCAACGCTGCTGAAGCATCACATGTCCCTGAAGTCACAACGATCAGCTCCGTCAGGAAAAGATGCGATCAAAATGTAAACAAAGATGCAGTCGAGGATGCAGTATCTACAATACCTCCTGATTCTGCTACACCAAGTTCCTCTTCAAATGCCTTAAACGAGCAGCTGCCCTCAGGGAATGACACAGGGGACGTTAAACACTGCTACAAAACACAAAATCTTTCGCAATCAAGAAGTAAACGCAGTGCAGTCATTATCGGTGACTCTCCTGTAAAAAATGTTAATTGCTGGGAATTAAAGGAAAAGTGTGGAAATCAAGGGATGAATATTTTTGTCAAGAATTTCAATGGTGCTACAACCAGAGACATGCATAGTTATGCCCAGCCTTTAATTGAAAGCAATTAAACTAACCTAATCCTACTGCACAGTGGCGCAAATGACCTTTCTCTGAAAATTGATGGAAAACAAAAAACAGAGGTGCAAATTGCTGAGGAAATTATCGATCTGGCTAAGTCAATTAACGATAAAGGTATTGAAGTTGTTATTTCCGGTCTTATAACACGTGGTGACAGATATGAATCAAAGAGAAAGAGAGTAAACTTTGTTCTCCAGGACTTGTGCTCTCAGAATGATTTTGCCTTTTTGGAACACAACAACATACATGCCAACCAACATCTTAACAGAAGTCTGATCCATCTCAACCAATATGGTGATAACATTCTTTCTAACAATTCACTTCGTGCATTAAATTTTTGACTAAATAAGATTGAGGTAAAAGATAAAGAGGGTGATTGCTCTGTTTGTAAAATGGTGGAGGTGTAGCTTTGTATGTAAAAGAGGCATCTTTTGATAAAGTCACTGTCAGGACGGACCTTCCTCTATCCAATTTAGAAGGTATATGTATTGAGATTAAACCTGTGAAGGCTGCACTGTTTCTTGTTATGTCGTGGTGCCGTCCTCCTGATGCGTCAGTTGAAATATTTCGTCAACTGGAAGAGTGTTTACAGGTTCTCGTCAAGGAGAAAAGGGATATAATCCTCCTTGGCGACACAAACTGTGATTTTTTACCAATAGTTTCTGGGGCTGAGAATACTTGTATCCCCGATAACCTTCCACCACATTCGAAGAACTTACTTGGCATTTATGATCGTTTCAGTCTAAGATAGTTTATCAAAAGAAGTACAAGGGAAACTCTTACAACTGCCACTCTGATTGATCATATTTCCACAACTAATAAAGCTTTTATAGTAGAATCTGGTGTTTATGAGACAACTTTAAGTGATCACTATTTGGTCTACTGTGTTAAAAAATTTAGAGATACTGCTAAAAAACAGCACAAAAACATTTCCACTCGGCAAATGAAAAATTTCAA